ATAAAAAAAAAAATTGCACATAATGTGAAAAGGAAAGAAGACTCCTACAAATTCATCACGAAATATCCCTTGTTATCTAGCTATGCTAGATTGGCCATTATATCTGATGAGGTGGCTAGGTTCAATCTGATTAAAATACATTCTATATTGTTGGTAGTACAAATACAAAATTGTGATATACTTCATAAAATAATTATAACAAGTATAGAACAAATTAAAGGAAATATATAAAATTAAAAAAAAAATAAACACCGTACAATACACTAATTTAATTAGAACGTGTATAAGGTTGATAATTAGTAATCAATAATGTGCATATAGGAAATAAGAGTCACAATATTCAACACGCAGAAGTGATATGAAGATATATGAATAAAATAATGCTAACCTGAATTGGAACCGAACTACCAATACTGTAAATAATTGCCCTTCTCACTCATTATTCGTGGGCAGAATGTGGGACTCTCCTCTATGCTGGCAACGTATCCGGCTCTCCTCCACTATTTTAGAATTTTAGATACTTCCGCGTGTCAAACAAGTACTTTGTGTACGTGATGACACGTCAGCTTTCAGAGCTGTTCAATAGAGGGTCCCGATTGTCCCAACATATACAATCTTATTTTTCTTCATTGTCAGTATAAATACCACATGATGGGGTGAGGTGAGGCGGGGTGTAATGTATGTTATTGAGCAAATCATTGCTCCTTGTACAGGCACAGTGAATAATGATAGCTTTATCACGGTGTCTGTACTATTACAGGTGTGCACAACCACAGTCAGCAGATATTTACTATATGGGGGCCGCCATCTTGAATACAGCATGAAACTATATAAATAGACAAGTTATGAAACTAGTTTTTCAGATTTCTACAAATCAGGAAAAAATACCAATCTTTCTCAGCCAAACGATCCGCTGGGGCAATATTAAGCCAACCGCTGACATAATTCGGTCAAATTTTTCGTTTTTGTATGGAAAAATCGCTTGCATAGGAACTAATTACACGAAGAACGTAAAACACTTTCCCGGGGTTCTTGAAACAAAAAACTTGCATTCCAACTCAGCAACCAATCAGCTACGGCCTTACAGTTAGATGACAATTTCGGTTTCAAATACCTAAGTAAAGTGTTCTATGTTCGAAGCAGGGAAAAAGGATACTGCGCATATTATGCTAATAAGTCGGAAGTGTAGACAAATAGTATCATTGGTTCTTACTGTAATTACGAAATTATCTATTTTCGGAGTGGAACTACATCACAGAATATTCTACCACCATTGTACCATGTATTTCCAGCGTCTGTCAGATATGTAGAAAGTAGTTAAATAGGCTTTTGATTGTTGGATTTATTTGAGAGAAAAGCTGTCATCTGTAGAACAGGTGTCTTAACATTGATGGCAAATATTGATATGATATGTGCTGAGAAAGGTGTTGCTTCAGCTAAATATCAAAAATTAAATAGAGTGGAACCCCAAAATTCACATACTGGATCTAGTGCATCAACAATTGGTCAGGGTATACGGTGTAAAAGAATACATTCATCAAACAAGTTCATGGTGGGTTCGTTATTTTTATAAATAAGGATATCAGCCATCCGAAGTAGATATTTACCCAGTTGGGACTTCTGTAACTGTCTCATGCTACGACCATCTTGGAAAAAAAAACTCATGTCAAATACACATGGCTGTGGAAGACCAATTAGATATGTAACTGACAACAATCGGCAGACATTGGAGTTCTGCTTATGACATCTTCATTTTCAACCTTAATCAGACTTCTCATTACAGCAAATGTCTTGGTCAATGTTCTTCAATTGTTTTGCAATTGTTTTGCCACTTAGCTTGGTGTGTATGTTCTGCCTTATTTGTAATGAATCATCGACATTCACTCGGTAATCAGCAATCAAGCCTGCTTCTCATCATCATCTTCAACAGCGAAAGAATTGTGCTTAAGAGGAAAGGCCTTAAACTTCTTGAAGATCTGCGCTATTTATTTCTGACCAAGTTCCAGTCAGTGTTCTGGCGGACACTATTTGTGTCTTCCAGGACCACAAGGAAACATATGTTTATTTTTAAGGTTAAGCTTCCAATTTTCGGTATTTTCAATCCTTATGAATATTCTATCATCGGATACAATATTCATGATCATAACCTATAACTTTCCTTGTCCTTCTTCAAATCATCTTCAAGATTCGGAAGAGATTATTCGGAAGAGGTTATGGGTATCCGTGCAAACTTAGTTTAATCCCCTACTTAATGCACACTGTAAATGCCATTATTATATTCTTTCCCATATTCTATCAACTCAAACTGGAAATAACATACCCAGCTGCAGATAATTAAGTAAAAGTACAAGAACACAAAACAATCAACGACAACATAACAAAACAACTGTCAATTATCGCAGTCAGGGGTAAACTCACAAGTTCCGTGCGGTAATTTGATTGACTGGAGATTTTAATCCATGTTACACTTGTTTTCTGTTGTCTTTTAAAAAAGGAGATCTGCATTTGATACAATGATGCGATTACTTTAAAACACCAATTTACCTGTCAACATTGAATTATGGGTTTTACCTGTTTGCCCGTAATTAATCTGGTTTAGAAAACCATCATAGGTAATGCGAGGTTTCTAAATAAAAATGTATCAATACTAAATTTCCTATACTTCAATCACACACTAGGTATATATTGATGATATATATAGATACATATATGATATTGTAATAAACAACTCTTAAAACATACGTAAAGTAAAATGCTTGACGTTAAATTCAGGAATACGCTCAAAAACATGTGTTCTAGGACTTTTATGGCTACAATTTTACCAGTTACCATGGTAACATAACTATTTTCATTTTGTTGGATGTTTGGTAAATCATTACCTACGTTTTGAAACCAAACAGGAAAGTAAGCATAAATATATAATGGTTTTAACAAAAATAGTTCTCATGTATTTTAACCCAAACTGCTAATTTACATTTGGTTGGAAAATCATATTTCCCCAAGGTTGATTTTGATTGATTTTTTTACAGCTTTCAGAACCCTGTATAAAGAGTTTAAAGTAAAAAAAAATGGTTGTTATACAAAAAGTCTGGGTACCGATGACTGACTAAGTATATCGACCTTACTTTAGGTCCTTTTTATTATTCAAGAAACGTTCCGAGTGCCTGTAGGTCTCGTGCCACCAATGGCTGTTGTTAACAATGGGTTTTCTTTCACTGTGTTTTATCTGAAACGCAATGCATGAGGGCGTACTCCAATTATGTCAGCTGTAAAAATTGTGTGTGTCGCTTTCAAGTTGTTTATTGACAAGTACCGGCGACCTGTGGATCTGAGCATCTCTCAATTATATTATACAATTCCAAACTGGCTGCGTTTCTGAGAATATTGAAGGTAGAAAAATGACAAATCTGTGTGTTTTGCTTACATCCATTTTGAGTTTGAGCTGACCAACGTTTTACTGTGGACGCATGAATGAAAGGAACACACCGCCAGCAAACTTGCTAACGAATCGTCTGCGATGATGTATGGAGATCGTTATCAATTTGATACACTTTGGGCCACCTCATTCTCAAAAGGAGGCAATGGTATTTACTTAGAGGGCGCACTTTCAAGTCGTTACTTCACGCTAAATTTTCGTATTTCCCCGTTTTGTGCTATTTTAAATGTAATAAATTCTAAAGTACAATTACAACACCTATTTTTTGCAAATAGTATTGTTTTGATAAAATTTGACCATGTATGAGAGTAGATACTAGTAGTCTCTTCCAGCATACGCTGATAGCATTTCCACAAAACGTGGTGCGGTGACTGCATAGAACTTTCTTGAATTTCTTTTCCCTGATTTAACCTGTTGATTGCAAATTATGTACCAGTTTCAATTAATACTGAACTTAATTGCGGAATTTAATAATAACAATTATTACGGAAAATTCATATACCAATCATGTCCCTCTCTAAAAGTATCTTGGCCTCCTATTGAAAATGGGATGGCCTAATCAACGATCTCCAGACTCAAGTTTGAATCAACACAGGCGATTCGTTAGCAAGTTTGCTGACAATGTTGGTAATTAGGTGTTCCTTTCGTTCACGCAGCCACAGTGTTGGCCAGAATTCTATTACATACATGTGGTTTCAACATATTAAAACAATATTTTGATCTTTGTAACCCCTTTTCTTGGAGAAATTCACCCAAACGCTAGCATTGTCGTTTATGGAGGTCTAATTAATGGTGTGAGACCTGTATAAGTCAGGTGAGATCCCTGTCGCCGACGATGGCGCTTTAGCGATGAGAGGGGCCAAATGACAACCACGAGACGATTCGACCTATATTTGCGATTGAAACAATGACGCGACGACTTTAAAACGCAATTTTATTTTTATTTTCTCGTAAAAAAAAACACTATGCAAATATTCCAAATGTGAACATTAATAAAACTACCAATATACAAGTATCAGTGAAAGAAATATAACAATTGTGAACAAACACTCACAATCCAATGAAGTAAATAAATACATGTACTAATATGAAAATATACTATTTGAATGGAATGAAATGAAGTGGAATGCAATGGAATAGAATGCAATACAATGTAACACATGATGAACTCTCTCTTCAAGACACTTTGTTGTACACTTTAAATGAATATAACATTGTAGCGATGATAATATAATTAAACTAAAATGATTTGCTTTGAGAGATGCAACCAATTAAGAAGATTAAAAAGCAAGCGTGGAATTGACCGATTTTTCTCGATGATAGACGATGATAGACGATTAAGCCCAAACAGACTCGTATCGTTCATCTGTCATTCACAGCTTCATTTGATGGTCTGACATTTTCATTTGTAAATTGGAATACAGTAACAACTAAAAATGTGAATGATTATGATTGTATCACAGTGTGGTTGAAATGATGGCATATTCGCACGTGGTTGAGAGTGGACCAATCACAACAGAAGCACATATGAACCCATAATGCACCGTGACAAAAATCACACACTTCAATCTATTTCCAGTTCATCTCGAGAAGGCAGCAAAGAGAGGGTTCTGTTTTCTAACTCAAAGGCCAAGTTGCTGTCATGGTTACTATCGTGCGGAACATTGCGCAGTGATGCCGCAAGGTCTCGCTCATGCGATCTAGGCAAATCGTGGCTGTACTGGTCGGATGATGTTGTCAATATTGTGAAAGTTGGCGGATAGCGGAGACCACAAGAAAGTGCATGCGACTGTAGGTAGAATTTTAAACGTTCCCTTTCTTCCTTGAGTGTGTCAATTTGTTCCAGCAATCCCTGTTTTTCCTCCTGTAATTTATCTGCTTCCTGGAGAGAAAACAACAGCAAACAGTTATGAACATGTATACTACACGACTTTTTTTTTTAAACGCCCTTTAGCGGCGAGGCTTTGCCAAACAAACTCTGATTTCATACAGCATGAATATAGGGGTTGTTTCCTGTCTGTTGGCTAGGAGGGGACTGAGTGATTGGCTACAGTGTTTTACCAGTACTGTCAATCTTTAATCCGATTTATCAGGTAAACCCGACTGTAGTTAACCAAATAACTAATAATAGTCGCAACTTCCTCTATATAAACGTAATTAGTTTACCCTAATTATTCTCGTTTATTGGAATATCATATTTTAGGCCAATATTTGACACCTAATACTGAATGGTTGCAGGGAAATGTAACATTAATCCCAGTATTTTCAGAGTTAAGATTTACTGTCATAATTGAAGAGTTTGTTGACGAGAGCGAGGCTGTGATATATGCAAATTTGCGCGCGACAAATAAACTGCATCTATGAGAATAACGCATGTTCTTCTGAGTCACGGTCTGGATTTTAGTTTTAACAATTACAAAATGATATTGTTTTCCAGAGTGAATGTGGAATTGATGACTACCCAAATGTTTATATTTACATACAAATATATTACTTTGGGGGCTTATTTATTGTTTTTAACACGACATTTAGAATTTATATTACTCTAATTGGAAGTACACTTTAAACAATTGATTGGTTGAATGAAAATATCAATCATCTGAAGATCGCATTTGCCAGTGGAATTCCTTGCGTGCACTTATGACGTCACACAGTGTGTCACGGCCGTTGCGTACATCTGATTAGATAATGAGATGTCACGTGCAATGTAATGTATCAAAGTAGAGCGAATGACTCTGTCCCCATTCAGACTAACGACAGGATATTACGTTAAAAGGGACAAAACTTGGTCTACTTTCTTTATTTTTTCAAGCCATTATTTAATCAATCCTACTATCCCACACGTGGTACAGCCACGAAGCTAAAAAGTGCTTAGTCCCACGGTACAGCTGTCGGGGTATACGGCAAAGCCATGGATCACACTGTCGCTGGTACCTATCATCGTTGCAAGGAAATACTACTAGTACACGCACTAGATACTCGTGGCGCTTGACATCGAGTTGTGTTTAAGGGGATGAATATTTTTTGTGAGTAAGAACATGTATACGCCTACGGTCTTTGTATAGGCAGGAGAGACGCTAAATAAATTAAAAAATGCGCCATTTCAGATTAACCATGCTTCGTGGTTATCGATATTAATTATTGATGGACATGAGTGTTCCGTGTGTAATCAAGGGTGGGCGGATTGACGTACGGAATGGTATCAAATACAATCATCTTGGGTGTTGTTTCTTTGGGAATCTCCGGTAGGAATGCTCAGATGTGTATACCCATGTCGTTTATAGAGTAATATTTTGTAATCTGCAAGGGGTAATTTCGAGGGTAATAATTTATTTTATTTTTTTTCGTCAGTGGGCGCTTTTCGGTGATAAAAAGCGGGAAGTAGCATATGAAATCACTCAGTGATATAAACAAGTCGATCAATATTTTTATTAGAATTATTTTACTTTACTTCGTTTGCTGCATTTCAAATTACTCCCATACGGCCATAACCCACCAAATCAACACCGCCGAAATTGATAACCATGGACCAAAGGCACAAACATCGTCAGCTGACTACTAGCGTTCTAAAAATAGTATATCATTGTGGTAAACAGAATCACATGGTACACGGCACGTTATGAGTCATGTCATTGAAATGTACAAGCCATTGTGCTGTTCAAATAACGCCCCCATGCGACAGTATAGCAAAACAGCCACCTACATGTATCTAAATTTAGCACCGTGGGATTGCCCGAAGTCCTTTCGAATTGAAACGCTCTTTGTTTTTGCACATTATAGAGGGTTCGGCTAAAGTGTTTTAGTATACCCGTTAACAGATGCAGCTAGCTACAGTGACTCGAGCAAGAAAAGTACCGATGGTACGGAAATCAGAACAAAAATCTTCAAGTTGACACCCACACACTACCATTGAAAAGCACCACCTTAAACTGAATTATCGCAGTGTTTGATTAAATTGGTGTCAAAATGAAAGTGTTATTCAATAACTTTGATTGTAAAGAGAGAATAACAACATACGCGCAGCTGATTGAAACATATGGTGAAGCACTAGACATTCAGGGCATTTTGTTTTTCGCAAACAGAGCCGTGGGTTCAGAGTTCGTCGTTGCATCAGCAGTGACTCATAGTCCCAGCACATGTTGGTTGCCTCGATACGTCAATGTAGCCTTATCGTCGAACCCCAAAAAAACCCAGATCTATGGTTTTTTGAACGTATTGATGTTTGCAGTGGGACTAATTGTAGGTATACAGAGATATTTCTGAGTACGTGACGGCTACTCACTATGTTTGCCAAAGATATCAATGGAATCAAACAGATGATATCACCGAATACATATCCGGTACTTAGAACGGTGTTATGGCAGTAAAATATTTATTATCGTGCAAGTCTCACCTCTTCCAGTAAAACTTCCCTCTCTTTCTTCTTCTTGCGGCATTTCTCAGCAGCTTTTCTGTTCTTTTCTCGCCTCTGCCTCACGCGATCTCTCTCCTCTGGAGTCAACTGCGAACAAGAAGAAAACAGTGAGATTTGACATGTTATGTCTCTCATATCGTTGCAATAAATCTTGAAATCAAGAGCGCGGTTAATACCTCTTCTGGTTCTAAGACATTTTGCCAGTTTGGTGCGATTAACGCAGGTGTGTTAGCATTGTCGTCGTCCATCACGGTTCCCAAATCGTATCTGGCAATCTTTTTCCTTGGCTCCTTCATATCATCATCAACTGATGACGTGAGACCAACCACCCCAAAGTCAGAACTATACCGTTGTTGTTTCATCGTAGTCTGTGGAATCCCTTACGACGGAGCACTACTGAACCGGTCACGAGTGTATGTACCAGGGACTTGTCTCTGCTCTTATAAATACCCTCGGTCATATTATAAAGTGGGGGCGCTGTCTGTAAGTTCATTGTGTAGGCGTCAGTGTGAATGAGTCACGGCCGCTGCTAAGCTATATATGGCTTGTTTTTCCCGAGACCCGGCCCCGGTGTACCCACGCAAAGGGTCGTAGTAGTACATGTGTATTAGGGGGTTAGCACGTGCTGTTCTAGCTACGTTAACTGCTGTATTTCCAGCCGCCTACTCTGAACCAGTGGGAGGGACATATTATACGCTCGTCACGAAAAGCAGTGGACTCTATCTGTAGTTAGAAACCCAATTATTATAACACTGCTTTCGTTTCCATTGTGGTTAGAGGCCGGATATTATTTCACGCCATCTAAGATTTAGGTATAATACCGTGGATGGAATACATCTAATATGGAATTCTAAGCCTCGGGTATTTTCCACATACAGGAACAACGAACCAGCGCACACAATAGTGAGTTCGAATCACAAGAGACTTTCACTCCAATGTGGCACGTTGCGATTTCATCAGCCAGGGTATGTCCCGGTCTCCACTGACGACGAGTTCGACCTCGACAAACATCCAGGCCTCATGACACGGTCACTGAATCACAACCGTGTTTCTTCGTAGTCATGTAGTACATATTGTCGCTAAAGGCGGATTGATTTTAAAGTTTCGCTTTTCGCAATACTTTGAAATCACGAAGAGGAAGGTGTTTTGGCGAACACGAAAGATCTGGTGACGAATAGACACTATTGCAGTTTACTTATAATAAATATCAAGCTATATAACATAGCTACGGATATATCAATAGAATATCAACAGTGGGCTTAATATAATAGTCTGTAATAATAATAATAATAATAATAATACATTTGCTAATTGAAATTACCTTTTCCTTTTTATCCTAACGTTAATGTTTATGCCAAATGAAACACAAATTCATGAAAAAACAAGTATTCTCCATCTAAGTAATTTTGTTATTTTTAGGGTATTCTTGTTAGCAAACAAAAAGCTAAAAAATCACCCGTTAACAGTTCCCCTACGTACGATTATAACTTTTATCTATATTGGGACATTACTCACATGGACTTTAAAAAGATGTATTCTCGTGTTATATTAATATCGAGTGATATATCGCAATTTGGGCTCTACTGGAATAATCATTTATTTTAATGAACAGCCCGAAGATGATCATTGTCGAATTGCATGCCTCAAAATGGAACTCTTAGCCTCCGGGATTTTTGCTTCATATACAATAGTGAATTATAAACAAAACTGAATGAAATCAAGATGACTTTCACGAGTCAGACGGCGAATTAATCGGCTAGGGAATTCCCCGGTCTCTGCAGAAAACCATCAGGATGGAGATACACTCTTATTCATACAAATCAGTAAAGAAATGTATCAATTTGAAATACCGTATTAAAAAATAAACAAATTTTTCAGATTACAAAACCACAAAACCAATAAAAAGTGACAATAAGATTAAGTAGATTATATCACTTTCACTTTACCATACAAGACAAAATCACTAACCAACAGACATCATACGAACTCATTAGAGTTATGGTAGATTAAAGGGCGGCAGTCGTCGTGCCGCGTCCTCTTCGATATGGGACTCATAGCGACGTATACAACGCGTGTAAAATACATTGTTTATTTACATAAAATTCGAACACGCGCTGCGCGACGACCACCGCGCTTTAAAATGTAAAGTTAATTAAAATATCTAGCTGTAATTGTCGTGTTTATGTTCATTTGTTGAAGGTAAAGTATCAGATATATATGTTTTACTTTCTCTGGTATAAGCGTTTAGTTTTATTTTCGGCAACTTGCAAACATGCTTTTACAGATAGGTGGAATTATAAGTTATAACTCTGTGTAAAACCACGTGTTTTCAATACCGTGCATGTAATATATAAATGCAATGGCCTCGGATACTTTCACCGCGGGATCACAAACCTGCACACACAATAGCGAATTGTAAACACAAGTGACTTTCACGTCACTTTCGATTTCATCATCTAGGGTATGTCCCTGTTTCCATGACGACGGGGTTGACGCTATTACATATTCAAATCCCATCGCAGTTGCAATGCAATTGGGGCATATTGTCGTTAGTGGTGATCTTATTTTAAAGCTTCGCGTTTCGCAATACTTGAAATCAAGAAGTGACGGATGTTTATAAGAATCACAAGCACTAGTAATCAGGTGACAATTATAAGACTATGTTTCAGTTTGAAATGACAATATCCTGATAGTCTGACGTAAGTGAGCCATATATACCCGGGGAGAACCAGGCAAACACCGATTCATGATAAAAAAAAACAAAAAACACTCCACCCAAGTAATTGTGGTACTTTTTAGGGATTCACATCTCCCACACAGCACTTTAACAGCCTCATATGATGGTAGTCATGTGTATATTTGTGAAATGTTACTGATGTGCACGTTAAAAGTGACACATTCAGTGTTTTGCGACGTCTAGATTGAATAACACATAATTGTATAGCATAAACCTATTATATATCAACTGTATACTTTTATAGAAAATTCGTTTTTAATTTGTGTTTGTTTTATATCGATCAATCAGGACAATGGGTTAATATACGTATATGGGACGTTTTATTTCTACCACACCTTCAACGCGTAAAGGAAACCCTTTAGCCTTGGCGATTTCCGCTGCACACAATCAGGCAAACCCTTTGTAAAATACAATGAATTATGAAAAAAACTCAAGGTGACTTTCACGCAGCGTTGTTATCGGGTGTGGGGGTGGGGTGGTGCCCCGGTCTGCGGAGGTCTGTGGACATACCTAATTTACATTATTATGCATACAAATCATTCGACAGAAAATGAACACATTATTACAGATGAAGAAACGGTTAATGACTAGATTATACAAAACAGAAACACTAACCAACCTACATTACACCAAATATATAACTATAAGCGTGCTTGAAATATCTAGTTGTTATTTTCTTTTTTTTTGGTTTTCATTTGTTAGGGGTATTGTATTGTATTTATTACATTATTCGAAATATGCGTTCAATTTTAATTTATGTTCGTCAACCTGCAGACATACTTTGGTGGATGGTCAAACCTTACGTTAACACGTGTTTAAACCCATCGTTTTATTTAGTATCGTGCCTCAAAAGCATTCTAACACATTTTGAGATATTATCACACGTCACTGCCGCGTCGAACCCCATATAACAAATGATTTTCACTCGTGCTCCGAATTTATCATCTACTATCTTTCCCAGTTCCCAAGAAGACGTGATTGAAAATCAGGTCATTAGATGGTGAATAAATCTTCAATTGCCATACGACCTCATGGTAGTGTCGTTTCTTTTTTCGCAATACTCCAAACTTGAGAGAAGATACAGGTGCCGCTATCATGTACACTAGTAATTTAACTATTAGACGATTTTGCAATTTGAAAGGGCCATTTCCCGATAAACTGCATAGTAGGCAAACACCGATCCATGAAAAATAAATATCTGCTACCTAATTATGATTGGTACATTTAGGTGATTCTCGATCACCGTCACTTCAAAAAAAAGCACCCTTTAACCTCTACAGTACTCACTTTGTTTGAATACCTGAATGTAGGACATCCCGTTTGAGTCACAGAAGTCATATACCACTTATCAACTTAGCCGTGGATTTCACAGAAGAAATATATTTTTTTATATTAGGCCAAACACATATTACAATGTCATCAACGTGCATGGAAAGCTATGGTATGCTTCCCTCTTGAAATAACTATGATTGTACACCGTTGTGCTCCCACGAGAAAGACATCATTTATATATGCATGCCACCTCATGCCCTAGTTGTCATGGACACGGAGTGTCTTGCAGCCCGATCGCCAGAGCAACCCCAACCCTTAAACAAGAAAAATCAAATATATTCCAAATATATTTATATATTCCAACTTCGTCCTCATTAGCTTTAGTGGAGGACTATATGCACATGTTTACCCCAACAAACAAACATTGCATTTATTATAAGCAATGAGCTCCTCGGTTTGCTAAAACTGCATGTCGACTTAGAAAAAATGTGCATGCACATTGTTGATTATTTTACTGATTTGTTCTGAATTACAAGTTCTTGAGCCAACAAATATGTGTGTGTTTTGATGAGTAACTACTCATCTATGTGCCTGAAACAGTGTGCTTCTACAAGTCACCGTGAATACCGTGAATTTTCCGTGTATTCACCAAACAGATTTTGAAGGAAACTCCTGAAGAGGAAGATTGTCACCACACGGGAATACACACTCACATGAGAATGAATAAAATTCCCAAGTGACTTTCACTCGTGTAATATTACACCATGATCATGGGTATGCCCCATGTTTCCATTGACGACGAGTTTGACCCGTACGCAAATGTAGGTCTCATTCACTCATTCACTCACTCACTCACTGGTCACATACATGTAATGCAGTCTAGTGATTATTGTTGGATACGGCATTTTAAAGTTTCGTTACAGCAAATGCTTAAAACGCTGGTGGCAACCGTGCATGTAGTCCGGCGCGGGGCTAACACACTCGGGCGTAAAGTAATTTGAGGCAAACAAAACATGTTTGGGAAATAAAAACACATCACCCACCAAAGAAATTTTATGTTTTTTAGGGGATTCTAGTCCTCCAACGCCCATTTTAAAGATTAAATCGTGAGCATGATGTTGAAATTTCCCCACCTCTGACTGGCCACTCCGTCGCCCACAACATGAAGATCCTTTCTTCCTGGCAGCCGACATTGAATCCCCAAGTCGTGTCTCTGTTTTCCGCTAGAATATAATTCCCCCACCTATCCCCAGTAAGTATTGACCTTCATTGTCGATGTACGGCCGCGAGTTGCAGTCCACTGAAAACTCAAACTGCGTCACAAATAAAACGTATTCAGTCCTGACTGGCTCAACATACGTACGTACGACG